ACACACACACACACACACACGTGATAGGTATAGTAGATGCGCGGGTGTGTCCTGTCGGGATGTGTGCCACCGTGCAGGCACAAACTAACAGATGATCAACTAATTTGGAAGTGATTGCCCTCGACAGCCGTTCTTTTAGTCGTTACTCCATGTGTATGCGCTTGCGTATGCGTTTAGTTTTTCACTTACGGATGTCTGAGATCGAGCTTGCAGTTACTTGCTCTACATTACGAACCCCTAACGACATTGCTAAAACCACATTTGTCGGCATTTGATAGAATGATGTGGTGGGATCTTTGGGCATTGTTGCATCAAAATTTAACATTCCCTATCCATTACAAATACATTATGTTTAGTGGGATTTGACAAAGAAGAAAAAAGGCAATATTATCTTATTAGTCTGAACTTTTGATTGACATTGAAGCTCCATGCCACCAGGACTAAAAATCGAAAAACTGCCGTGAATTCGCCTCTATTATGGTGTCACTCGGGAGCAGTGGAATCGCATGCATCACCTTCCATCTTCCTCACGTCTACTAAAACACAGACAATGAAAATTGAATTACATTAAAATTGGTGAAGATAAGCAATAGTAATATATATTGACTTGTCCATTTTTTGAGCAGAAGGTAATATATCGGTTCTACTGATGAGCTATTTATTTTTGACTGCCATAGATCTTCACAAAATGCGATTTCGGGGAGATCGAGTCTAGTAGACTTGACGATTCGAATGACGTAAGCCAAACAAAGTCACTCAAAAGACCTCACATTAAGCGGCCTATGAACGCCTTCATGGTTTGGGCTCGTGAGGAGCGTCGTAAAATACTCAAGGTAAGCCCAAAACAAGTTCAGTAGTCCTAACATCAGCAACTAGGTCGTGAATCATTCCTGCCTACCTATAAACAAGTAGTACTACTATCATTGCTGATTAGCCACTTCCACTTTAAGGCTTGCCCTGATATGCACAACAGCAATATTTCGAAGATTCTCGGAGCCAGATGGAAGGCGATGTCGGCAGAGGAGAAGCGACCTTACTACGAAGAACAGTCACGATTGAGTCGCAAGCACATGGAGGATCACCCAGACTATCGATATCGACCGCGGCCCAAGCGAACCTGCATTGTTGACGGGAGGAAACTGCGCATCTCTGAGTACAAGGAACTAATGCGTAATAGACGCGGCGAAAATCGCAAACATTGGTTTGGAAACGGAGATACACAGCGCATAGTGGAGGGTCTTCTAGGTACGGTAAAAATAATTTTAACACAACACATGCTATACGTTAACTTGAGAAACAAGATAAACCTTATTTCGTCTTCCAAAGGCACAGCTATGTCAAAATTGCAGAGTTCTGGTGTAAGTGAGAGCAATTCCATCAACGAAGCAGTAGATGACCCCCGTCCCCCAACAATGTTGCACATTCCCACAAAATTCGAGCACTACCCAAGCAATCCGTCTCCTGCCGGTGGCTTTCACCACCCAAATTTTCCTACGCTGGCTCCCACAGGCCTCACATTTTCTCTGCCGATCGCATCCAACGCTTCAACGTGTGAGACGACTTGTGAGCTCGGTCAAGTTCGCCCCTTACCCCCGCTGCCAAACCCTGCCATCACTACTGCTACTGCTACCGTCGCTACGGCGACATCCTCTGTGAGTCCAGAGGATCTCTCTCCTCGTTCTGCCTCACCTCTAATCAGAATTCACTCAACACCAGGCCTGCAAACAACTTTGTGAAGCTGTATACAGACAGCCTTCAATGCATTTAATGTTCCCTCAGGTCTTCAATTCACGTTCCACATTTTACTTGGCTTGCACACACACATGTGTACACGTGCGTGGCGTGTGTGCACAATTACTCTCCATTTTTCTACCTACGCGCTCACCCGTATCGTTTAACGCAACGGTCTTTGGTTGTTTATTTTTGTCTCAAAACTGCTATCTTGTGATCGATCATTTGTTCTTTTTCCGAACGTTTAAGTTCCTATTCTCCCCTTTTTCCTTCTTCCATTCTTCTTTGTGTGGTGTCAAAATGACATTTTTTGTAGCATCGTTTGTACAGGACTCATCCGCTGATCTTGTGATAGCCATTCCTCTTCTCCCACTCGGATTCGTTGAGGACGAAAGCGTCTGTTACTTGTAGTCCTCATTAATCGAACCTCTTGAATTACGTGTGACACAGAAATGTCTATGCAACTGCTACAGGAAACCTGAATACGAAAGGCTTTCAAGCGTTACCAATTCTTCTTTGACTTGGCCATGGAATTGATTATTTAGTCATAGGAATGTATTTTTCCTAAATCAACTACTTTACCAATGGTACTATCACTTTGCTATACCTGAAAATATCGCGATGTTTACTCGCGCTGAGGTGTAAGTTAACCCCATTGCACAACTTGTACTAGCGGGAGGAAGCGACTAAAGTGAACGTCAAAAAGTGCTAAGTTACTTCATTCTCTAAGAGTGGGGAGGCTGAGGAGGAAACTTGCAAATTACCTTTAGCTCATAACCCTCCATCAGAGTGTCGAAGTAGGCCATGCCACTTAAGTATTTTGTGCTGGTGGATGAGTAATATTTGACCAAACTGGGTCCTGTTAAGTCATACTTACTTACAACTAGAAAAGCGACTTCATTCCCCGTTTGTCCCACATAGAGCTGCAACAGTATGATGCAGTAAAAAGTCATACAACTTAATAGCCTTCTGCTCCTTCACTGTCAAAGATTACATCCAAGTATTGTAGTTGGTCCGATAGCTTTACGCAATGCAAGTTGACAAAAAAATATTCTACTCATGTATTATCAGCAAAGGTAAATTTAGGAGCACGCTGCATAAAAGCCTGGCACTTTAAGTGGTTAACCTTTGCAATGGTAGAATAGCCGCTGTTTTCAGGATGTGGATCGTTCATCCTGGTTAAGTTGATTAAACCCTAGTGGCATCTCAGCCATTACCATGCAGACACATGAATGCATATGATGTAAAAGGAAATGAATCGGCTGAAGAATAAAGTTTTCCCGCTGCATATGAAATGGGACAAAGGAAATTATCCCATTAAGTGCAATTAGTTAAGTTATGTCGTATAATACTTGTCAGGGGGCACCATTGTTCAATGTTGACAAGCTCCAAACAGTAAACCGAAGGACCACGGTTTCTTTCAAGATAAAACATCATCACCCACGCCATCTTCGGTAACAACCCACAATCTTGAAGTCTTTGTTGAAGGAATGATATTTAATGCGTTCTGATTCGCGTTGTTGATTAACTATCTGTTACCTACAGCATTACATCATGTTCCATAGATTGCGAAATCATTTAGCTGCAAAACGAACAGTAAAATTTGTACTCTCCGCATATTTTTCCGACTTTGTCCTCACATCCAACCCG